GCCCTGGAGAGAACAATCATGGGAGAAGGAAGGGCTGCTTATGCACAGGAAGATAGCTCAGGGTACAGAAGAGTATGAAGGGATGGACACTGGGAGGAGGTAACTATGGGGAGGAAGTGGGAGGAGAGCTGCTGCATTGTAAGTTTTGATCACTGACATGAGACAAAGTATATGTGAACAGCTGTATGAAAAGTGAATTTACTCTGTAAATCTTCACCCAAATCCTAAAAAAAAAAAAAAAAGATTACAGTCAAGAAATCTTATAAACAATTTCTACTCAGTATCACATGGGGTTGAAATGGACTCAACAAGTTAGAATTGATGCAATAGCAGTGGGGTAGGTTAGTTAGGTTTACCTTTTTTAGAATATTTAAATATTCATGATGAGTTTTCACAGAGACAGTTTGAAAAGATGTAGGGAAAGAATTCCTAAACCATTATTTTGTTTCTACTTGAAAATCATTCTTTGTGCACTGATAATTTTTTATGTTTGTTTTCTCTACTTTCAGATGCATGTATAATATCTGAAGAAGAGATGGAAAAATATAAAATACAGTTAAAATGGAAATATGACAGAAAACTCTATTCTAGATCATCTGATACTGTTGAATTTAAATGTAAATGGCCATATAGGGAAATGACACCCAGACACACTTTTCGAGCAACTTGCCGTGAAGGGAAGCTGGAGTATCCCCGTTGTGGATAATGCCGTGGTTAAAATGCATTTATACAGTCAACATATATACGTTTCCTAAATTTTCTATTATTAATCCTATTTTCTTAATTTCATTTTTCCAAATGTTAAGCCATTTTTACTCACAAATTAGAATTTTCTTTAAATATTCTGTGAATGATGTAATTATAATCTGAGAGACTGATATTTGACCCTAGAAACACCTTATTAAAACATGGCAAACCACAAAGCTATATGTCTGGTTCCTAAAACATCCTCGGCTAGAAATTAGAGACACTCACTTCAGTGCCTGCTTCAATCCATCACTTTCCTAACATTCTCAAAGCTTTCAACATAATGTCTGAGGCTTTCTGAGACTCTTATTTTAGAGACAATGGAAAAGATATAGTAGTCTCCAACTTCAAAATAATATTCCATGACAAATATGAAAAAACAAACTAACTTATATTAGTAGGAAAATAAAAAAGATTGCTTATTATTCACTAAGATTACCCTACTTATCTATTATAGATGAATATGCCAAAAAGACCAAATTTGTAATCTATCAGATATCTAGCACATTTAAGCATGCAAACCAAGTATAAAGAGAAATTAAAATTGAGTTGTTTACATAACAATCATAACATTATCACAAATAGCTATAAAAATCCAATATTATATATAAACACACACAAATACATGCAAACAATACTGTAAGCTCTAAATTAATGTCTGTAAAAGATGGATAGGCAGGAAAGTTGATAAAATATTTCAATAACTCCTCAGAAGGAAGATTGAGCAATCTACTTCTGTAGTGATACTGCCTTGGAAACCCAAAGAGGTGTCACTATGAGTTGGATCCAACGCGTTGGCAGTGAGTCTTTTTTTTTTTTTTTTT